TTTAATATAACCACTAGTGATTCTTATAATGTAAAAACTGAAAAACCATTCCCTCAACAACATCTGGCAAAAAAGGAAGCCATTAATATTTTACACGACAGTTAGATCCTACAAACTACACCTTGCTGTTAAAATTTTAAAAGCCTTCTCAAAACTGTATTTCTCCATTGTTAAACCCTTAATTAAATTGATTCATACAGCTAATGTCCTAATTTCATGGCAGAACTTCAATACAAAGGGTTTGTGGCTATTTGGAATACGTATAACCCACTTGAAATAAGAACCACGTAAACCATTAGTCTGCGGAATGCACAGGAGTGCTGAGACCTAAATCATCACGGGCTGTTAATTAATACTGTGATAACCTTAGCTATGACAATATATGCAAAAATATAGGCAACAAATAATCATTGCCATGTCAGATGAATCAAACTTCAAATACATAACAAAAACTCCAAAGGTTGTTAGGTGTAGATTTTACAGATTTCCATTGATTCCTGCCTTCAAATAGCTTCTGCATGAGCTTAAAGGTGTATTTATACAGCTATTGGGCCCCAAGAATCTGTTTTGCTAACCAGTGAATTGAGAAGGAGTTCCTGGTTAGCAAAACAGAGCACACTCTGGTTTTAAACTAATGCTTGTTAAAACTAAAACAAACAAAAACCGTCAGTGCCACAGCGGCAGCAAAAGCAGTCCCTGCATTCAGCTCTTCAAGGTTTGCCCTCTACACAGACAGCAAATCAGAGCACTGGGGGACTAAGATTATTACATGTAACTGAAGGTACAGAATAAATTTAAATGGGAGGAATTTATTGGATTACTGTGTTTGGGGAACAGACAATAAACTCCTCTAGCAAAGCCATGAGATTCTTAATGAAGATGAGACTAGTTAAGGCCTCAGTTCTACATCTCATCCCCAAGAAGCACATTTCTAAGATCATTATTACATTCAAATTGAGGTTTTCCCTTTTCTCCCCTCTGCCTTTTAAAACAAAATCCAAACCAAAGTTTCAAGAAAACCTAAATTGAATAGTATGAACCGCATCCCTACGAGCCAGGATATGAGCTATGCACTTGCACGTTACATTTGAAAACAACACATCTGTAAATTCACATTGTTCATTTACAAGACATAAAAGCTACTCATGATGCCAGCACCAAGTAAACAGAAGAGAACTGTCCTTATTTTGATGATATGTATCATCTATATCAACATGCCTGTATTTCTCAACCACTGTCTATCTGCTTCTCTGCCTAGCAGCTATCCTACCATAACAAGTGATATCTAAATACATTTTGGGGGAAAGATAAAAGCTCCATTAGATGACAAGGAATATTATGACTAACAGAGAGATTATACTAATCATGAGTAAAAAGAAGATGTTTGATCCTACTTATGCTGAAAGTTTTTAAAAATTAAAAAAAAATCTTTAAATGAATTTTATCCTCAGGAAAATGATTAAAACCAGAAAAGCGTTGAGATGTCAGCTGGTGACATGTTTTTCTTCTTTATCTTTCTTTTTTGTTGTTGTTGCTGTAAAAAAAAAATCTGAGAGAATACAGCAAAGTGCATCATTAACTTCTTATTAATTTTATAATACAAAGGCAATTCAGTTAAAATAGTGGTGCTGCAACTTTAAATTACAGAACTAGCTTGGTATTTAATGAGAGATTTAGCACAGCGGGGTTTCTGTTAAATTAAGTTGTGCCTTCACATCACAGTGGGAAAACAGGTGTATATTGGTTTAGAATTATGGAAATGTTGACTAATTCCAAGGCTTGTAATCAAACAGCAAGGCACCCTGCAATATTTTCTTCCAAGATTCTGCATTAATCATTTATGTCTGGTCTTATTTTCTTCATGTCCACTAAAAGGGTGCAGCTCAAAGGAGCAGATAAGGCATTCGTGTTTTCATGTCTTGGCTAAGGACAAGGTCCATGCAAAAAGTATAAACAGAGCACTGCAGGCTTTGCTCAAATACCCACCTAAATTAGACTGAATGTGCAGTCTTGGAAGGGGGATACATTTCACACGAAGAAGATGGGGTTTTGGCTGCAGGAGTGCTGATCCAAACCCTGCTTACTGAGCCACATGGAGCAGGTCTGCATCTAAGAAATGGAGAGACTAACCCTGAACTAATCTGGCCGTATCATTTAATGAACATCAAGGTATTCCCCTCCAGGCTTCTGCAGCAGTTCGGGTTACACCTGTGCACAGGTACAACACAGGCGAGTTCCAACCGCTGCAGCATCCCCGCAGGCCCCTGATCTTGCATCTGCCATCATTCCTTACCTTACACTCATAAATCACCTGCCTTTGCCTCGGATTTTCTTCCTGGGCTATTTAAGGATGTCTCTTACCTAACAGTGGTATTACAATAAAAGTGGAAGGCACAGATTCTTTTGTTTCCAGGAGACACCTTATTACTGAACCTCCTACCTACCATATCACGTTTACTGGAAGCAAGCTGACACTTGATGCCCAAATGAACCTGATCCAAATTCATCCCTTGTTGTAACTCTGCCAGATGATTGCTTCCATTTGCTCTGAGACTGTCCCGCACAGTGGCCTACCCACTACCGCTTCCTGCTCGTTCGGTGAAAGCTGCTTTGTGGGCAAGAGCTAACAACACGGAAATTGCTAAAATTCATTTAAGGAGAATCCTGCTAACATCAAGTGCTTTCAGCATGTGTGCCACAACTTTAGAGTGTGCTGAAAATTAAGGTATTTTGGGCATACAGATGCATTGTAACAGTATCACCATATATGCTGAATGTCAGCATCAGCCCCTGCAAAACACTGAATCTGTTACATAATATATGTGGAATTGTGCTGAAAGAGAAGTAACAAATCTGCATTTGAGTCACTTCTCTCTATTAAAGGTGTCCCTTTAAGAAGTAGGTAGAACAACTTATCCTTAAAGTAAAATCTTAACATCTCTGGCAATATAAGGAATATTTTTAAAGCCTGGGCTCCAGAGTCATAGGAATGTAATTTTCACATTTCCTTAAAAGAGAAGTTTGTAAGCTCACAGTCAGGACAGGAAAACACAGCTTGAAAAGATAAGTTTAAATGACAAACAGCTAGAGGTAGCATTAGAAAAAAATACTATATTTTTGAGCTTTATTTAAAAAAACCCAAAAAGTCCAGTAGTCTTCTGCATGCTCTTTATCTGTATAAAAGTGGAGGAGAAAATGATGCCCTGCTCAAGTAAGACACGACGCAGAGCCAAGCCAGCTTTGCTACCTGTACATGGGGAGTCAGGGAAGGGGTCTGCCCCATCGAGTCATCCAGTGGGATAAGTTGTCTCAAAACACAGCAGCCTGCTCATGGAGCTCAGGGAAGAACCGAGGAGCAAACAGAAGGACCCTCACTGCTTCTAAGGGGAGCGATGTACAGATCTCATGGTAGAGCTTCAGGGTAGGGTCCCACACCCTGCCTGGACCCAGGGATGCTGACTAGGCAGGGTGCTGCTCCAGCAGCTCAGGACCACCTCCGCTGGAGTATCCATGCTACCCAGCCAGTCAGCACAGCTGCTTGATCCAAAGAGCATCGGAGAGCAATAATGTGAGTTGGGTTAAGTGTGACATTAGCTGAATTCTGTTAGAGAATATTCATACAAGGGCTCAGCATTTTCTGGCAAAGGGGATGGGAACAAACACCTGGGGTTGCAGACCCAGAGGATGCTGAGATTCAACCTGAGCTCTGAAGGGGTCTCAAAGCGAATCACCCCTCAGAGCCCTCCTTTCTCTCTGAGGATGGCGCATCCATCCTCTACACCCTCAAAAGCTGAGCCTGACACTGGGACACTTGTAAGGTCTCGACATTGTCTCTTGCAAGAGACTTGCTGGAAAACATCACTTGAAGCAGAAGTGCCAAGATTTTTCTTCTGTTTTTCTGTATCTGGTCTACCTCTGCAGACCACCTCCTCCAGCATTTTCATTTGCAAATGACAGAGGACTCCCATTTTACCTCAGTGAATTAACAGAACTCACGTGTAACTATCCGACATACTTCTCCATGTCGGTCATTTCCACATCAGATGGGATGGCTTTCCTAACAGGAGTTGCATAAAGTGAGCTGCCCAGATGGGACTTTTTCAACAAGACAGTGTCCAATTTCACATATGGCACATAGGAACTAAAGGAGATACTGGCCATATAGCTGTCAGTGTTCTATTTATTTCTAGAGTGTTGTATACATTTAGTTATTTTTTGTGTCTGTAACCATACACTCCAGCCATATACTTGAACACTTCCCTACATCACCCCCATCCTTTATATTTCTCCTTTCCAATCGCCAAAGTATTTGGCTGCACCCAGCGGAAGAAATCAAAACATTCAAACAAGATTTCTGAGTTATATCATGCAAATACCAGGGATATACTTCTCTCTAGCCCCATAACTTAAGTCTGAACTACTGTAGGACAACACAAGCTACAGTTTGTACAACACAACCACAACCATTTCAGCCACTGGTGTGAGGTATCCCTGAGAACATGTTCCTGAGGAGAGGTGGTGGCAGGGAACGGGGTGACACTGGGCAAGAAGCTACATGGTACCACGCTCTGCCATACCCTGGTGTGCAGCCACCACACCAACTCAGTCAGGTTGTTCAGAAACCATGTGGATAAAGGCTGCATGTAACAAAGTTGGCTGTATTTTGTCTTTTCCTTTTCTCTCTCTTTTCAGACTAGAAGCCCCAGTGGTGCAGTGTTTTTCTGCCATATGTTTTTTTCCCCCCTCCCTCCCCCTTAAATAAAAAAAATAATTGAATCTACCTTGCACTTCAGAGAATCAGCACTGTTTCCAGCCAAGGGACTTTCTACAGAAGAGCAATTGCCTTTTGAGACGATGCCATTGCTACAGGACTGGCACCGTTAAAGGACAGACCATCAGGTTAGCCACCCTCCCTTTAAAGGCAACCAAACAGTACCTTGAGCAAAAGAGCTATTTTTCTGGTGATAAAATAATTAGGATCAAAAAGTAAATGTACTCACCCCAGGTAAAGTTTTAATATTGTGCAGTGCATTCTGTGCCTCAAGAGCAGCTTTTCTTGTATAAAATGTTACGAAACAACAACCTATAGAGAGAAATGAAAAGCTTTCAGAAATTAGTGAGTATGATTTGTGAGAGTACAATAGGGAGGGAGAAAAAACAGAGGCTGAACAACACATTATTAAAGCTGGAAATGTGAATTATCATGAGGCTGCCTGAATGACATGAATAAAAGAAAGCTTGTATGGTTTAAAATAAAAAGTCACCCCCTGTGCCTTGCATCCATAGCACACCTACATTGTTAGTGAACTGTAATCACTTAGAAATTAAGTTAACCAGAATCCAATTGGCTTTGTACAGTATAAATAAGGTTACATTTTTCTGAAGGCTCCCCATTATACTTTGAATATAAGCAACATGGCAAGCTCAAGCAG